GGCGGCCGGGGGAGCGGAGCGGTCCGTCCGGGCCTGGCCTGTAACCAGAGCGGACCCCCCCGTGGAGACATAAATGGCAGCCACTGTGCATCTACCCCGTGCAGCCTTGCACACAATCAGTCTTCACTCCAGTTCCGAGCAGGGCTAAGCTCCTTCCCTGCAAATAACCTCTTGCCCGTCTACACTAGCAGCTGGGCTCTCTGCGCCGTACACCTCTGCGAAGCCCCGGCATTCACACTCTCAGCATCCTGAGCCTGGCTTCGAGTGACATAAATGGCAGCCACTGTGCATCTACCCCGTGCAGCCTTGCACACAATCAGTCTTCACTCCAGTTCCGAGCAGGGCTAAGCTCCTTCCCTGCAAATAACCTCTTGCCCGTCTACACTAGCAGCTGGGCTCTCTGCGCCGTACACCTCTGCGAAGCCCCGGCATTCACACTCTCAGCATCCTGAGCCTGGCTTCGAGTCAGGAGCTTTAGAAGAGCACGCGTAGGGCTCTCTCTGTTTCCCTTGTGGTTTGGGGGCTCTCCCCCACAAGCCGGGGCCGCCCTGGTTTGGAAATGCACGCAGCGAGTCTCACCCAATCCCCAGACTCCGGGAGCTGGGGCTTTAAGGCCAACACCAGATAACGAGGGACTCAAGCTACTCCGGCGAAGCTGTGAGCTGGGCAATGGGAATTCAAACACTCGTGTGCACGGAGGTGCACTAGTGAAAAGGATCGCACAAGTGCAACGGTGAACCAGGCGGAGGTTAGGTCTGAGCTGCCATCGCTACACAGGGCAGGCACCCCTCCATGGAACGTGAAAATCCCTGCGCCAGACAAGGCCACGGTTTTCAACGCGTATCCAAGAGGACGTGGAACCTCACGCTGTCCCGCCACCCCCGACCTTACTCCCGTTGCCCTCACCCTCTTGTCAACCCCACTGGCTTGTTCTCCCAGGCCTGCTTGCGTGTTTGTGCTGCACGTGGCACGACGCAGCTCAGATCCTACCCGGGTCACTGGCCACCGTGGCATTCCACAGAATAGCGATCAGTTGCTAGGGCATCCTCTGCCCTCGGACCGGCGCCTGGCAGCCCGGTGCGGCCCCTCCCAGGCGAGATCCAAACCCCCTTGTCAACCCCACTGGCTTGTTCTCCCAGGCCTGCTTGCGTGTTTGTGCTGCACGTGGCACGACGCAGCTCAGATCCTACCCGGGTCACTGGCCACCGTGGCATTCCACAGAATAGCGATCAGTTGCTAGGGCATCCTCTGCCCTCGGACCGGCGCCTGGCAGCCCGGTGCGGCCCCTCCCAGGCGAGATCCAAACCCCTGGTGAGAACGGAGCCCCGGCGCTTTGGAGCCAGGAGGAATGTAAACAAAACGCTGTTTGATTTTCTCCTCGGGAACCAGCGGGCCCAGGATTAGAAATTGGCAGGCGGCGGCTTGTTTCCGTGGGACTCAGGGATCTGTCAGAGCTCACTGCTCAGCCTGGTTTTGTACACGCAGAAGGGAAATGAAAATGAATAGAAGTCGGAGCACTCTGCGCGCGCCTCTGTCTCCGGCCCCTGACGCGCTACGGACGTCCATGACGCCTCAGCGTCCATTGATTGGAATTGACATTTGGCATCTCGCGCTGAAGCAGCAGGACCCCGGACAACAAAACAATCAACGACACATCGACCCGCCGCGTGCTGACAGACCAACCCCGTTTCTCCACCGGGCCACGCCCCCGGCACGGAAGCTCTTCGAAGGGGCCGAACGCCCCGGGAGGTAGGGAGACGATACCGACCTACCGGGCAGCTGTGCCAACCGAAGCAGGGCGCAGCGAAGTGACTTCCCAGCGTTATACACAAGTCTGAGGCAGATGCCGGGAAATCGACAGACCCCTCGGGTTGGCTCAATCACGCCTAAGAGCCACCCAACCGCAGCACAAGAGTCCCAGAAGCACTAGCAGCGTACCCGGCCTCAGGAAGCTGCACGTGCCAGCAATTAACCCGGGTGCAGGTGGAAAAGTAGTTGCAACAATGGTCCTCTCTTTTCTGTCCCCACCGGGCGCTTGTGAACATCCCGTCCGGGGCTGGCCCGCGAGGCTCCAATCTGAACAAACTCCGCCCGAAACGTGCAAACTGCAAAGGGAAGTACTCGGGGCCAGGACACGATGAAGCGTAGGGTGAACGCACCACGGTGCAGAAGGAGATGCACGGGTGGGGCAGTAACGAGGCAGAGGACTGCTCTGAGTCAAGTACCCATGCCTCGTTTTCCCACTCTTGTTCACAGGAGCCGGGTCAGGCCCGGTGATGGGACGTCCACCCCTGATGGAGCTAAGGTCGTTCAGAATCACAGATGGAACTGGAAGGGACCTCGGTACTGGTCCATGCACCTCGCTGGCTGCTCCTGGGGCAGGCCTGACCAACAAGCTGAAAGATGAAAGACAGGAGCAGCTGGACGTGTGGAAAGCCTGGAAGTCGAGGGCAGAAAGAGGCTGCGAGGAAGGAGCCTGTTTTCATCTCCTCACCACAACTCCCTGCAGGGGGGTTCCTAAGAGGCTGGAGAGAGGCTGTTCTCTGTGGTGGCAGATGACAGAACGAGGAGCAATGGGCTCAAGTTACAGTGGGGGAGGTCTGGGTTGGAGATGAGGAAAAACTATTCCTGGGTTCCCTAGGGAGGGGGTGGAATCTCCATCCCTAGAGGTGTTTAAGTCCCGGCTTGACCAAGCCCTGGCTGGGCTGATTGAGTTGGGTGGGTCCTGCCTTGGGCAGGGGGCTGGACTTGGTGCCTCCTGTGGTCTCTTCCAGCCCCGGGATTCTCTGAGTCTAAGAGCTGGGCCAACAGCGCTTGGTCCTTTGTGTCTCCGTTTCCGCAGCTCTCCCGAGGGGATTAGAACGCTGCCCTGCCCTCCGGGTGCGGTGTGGACCGATCCTCATGCAACACGGTGAAAAAGGAAAGTCCTATTACAAGACAGGGAGGGTCCTACTAAATTCACAACCACGAACGCACGCCACAGATGGAGCAACCTGGTCTGGAAATCTGGCCCTTTCCAGCTGTGACTAGGCTATGTGGCTTTCACAGGGGAGACGGGTGTTTCTCAAATGGAGGGTCCTGACCCAAAAGGGAATTGCTGGGGGGAGGTCGCAAGGTTATTGTCGAGGGGATGGAGGAATTGCCACCATTATTTCGGCGCCGCCTTCAGAGCTGGGCGGTTGGGGAAAGGGGTCTGCGGGCAGGGCGCCCAGCTCTGAAGGTCAGAGTGGCAATACCTCACCTTGCGCCCCTCCGCCTGCGCCGATACGGACAGCGGCTCTTTCAGAGCTGGGGGGCTGGCCGCAGACATCCCTCCCCTGCCGCCCAAGGCAGTGTAGAAACACGCCCCCCGCCCACAATAACCCTGTGACCCCACCACGCCTCCAGGGGTGGGAATTCCCGTGATGACATCACCAGCCCCGCTCAGCTGTCAATGGCTGAAATCACGACACTGATCATCGGTTAAGTCCTTTGACTGTGAAACTGACCAACAGCCCGTGACTGCGGCAGGGCCCTCACTGATTCATTCTCGGTTTGCTTCCGACTGTCACCGCATTCTGCCGGCTCTTTAAGCACAGCCCATGATCCTCAGCATCTAGATGCACCTTCGCGTCGCGGGGCAGGCTCCTCCCGAGCCCCTCGGCACGCCTGCCCCACCCGACCGCGCACCGACGTCTGCCGCGATTACCACCTTTCCCCGCGGGGACTCCCAGCCCGCTCCTGCTGCCACTGATCGGAGTTTTGTCATCGACCTCTATGGCACCACGTCAGGGGCTTAACTCGCCAACGGAATTGGCTTTAACGGGCTGGAAAACGGTGAGCGACTTGGGCTCCTGAAGACACCGAATGCGGCGGAGGGACAGTTACTGCAGGGATCCCGCCGTGGCCAGCTGTGGTTCAGCCGGCCACAAGGGG